AAGCAGAAGATTGGCAGTGGTATGTCTCCTCCTCTTCCTGCTTGAATGTCTGTACATCTCCTGGATGATTACACACACAAATACAAAGCCGACCTTGCATTAAACACTGTGTGAAATAAGCAAAGTGGGTGGGTGAACAACTCTCAAAGGGGCAGAAACGACTCACTTTTCCTAGTTACTCATCTACAATCTGCTCCCACACGTGTGCACACCCATACACCCGATGCACAGTGAGCCATTCGTTTCATTCCAGCTTTAATATTTTAGCTGTAGGATCTCTGCTTTCTGCTCTAAATCTCCCTCTCTCTGTCAGGCTCGCACCACGCGCAGCCCTTGGTACAGCTCTGAATAAGCGTCCTTCTTTCATGCTCTGCACTCAGTCACAAGCTGTCAGACTCAGTCCCATGTCCTCGTAGATCATCCCAGACTGGCACACATTGCCCAAATGAGCTGCTCAGCACCTACTTACTCTTATGCAAGCACATAAACATTTTGACCCACATTCAATCAAGTCCTAAAGACAATGATGTGTCCTTTTTATGTATGAGCTAAACAACACCATCTATTTGAATTATGTTTTAATTAGCAATTCAGCCACCTGCTTTTATCAAAACATTGACTTCAGATATATGTTACATTTGCTCAGCAACTCCATCTGATGACAGGGGCCTCACTCTGTCACAGGAAACTTAAAAAGTCTTCAGAATTAAAAGCCATGCCAGGTTTCCATGCCTGTGGATTGGCCGGGCCATGTCACTTACAATTTGTCACCCCTACACTCTACACAGGGGGCAAAATGTCCCTCTGTGTCTCACTGGTGGCGTAAAGACAACTACTAACTTAAAGAAAATTAAAGGAACACTTTGAAAATACGCCAGATTTCCATGGGGGAAAAAAAAACATGCAAGCTATCTGCACTTTTGATAGGCAAAGTGTATAAAAAAACTGTGTGGTGGACAAAATGTCATCGAAACAATTCAGAAAGTAACTCAGCAGTTTGCAGGGCCCCGACGTGCTTCTACGCATGTTTGACAAAGTCAGGTCATGCTCCTAATGAGACGATGCATGGTCCCTGGGGGGGTCCCCTCCCAAATCTGGCCTCATGCTTCCAGTAGTGACAGTGACCCCATCCAAAGGCAGAACTAGTGGAAAAACGGCAAGTGCAGAGAAGGACGAAAAAATGTTAATGGCCTCTACTTGTAAAACCACCCCTGTTCCGGGGGTTATCTCATCGTTGGCCTCTTGTGCACCTAGCACACTAGCACGCTCTTTGCTATTTAACTGACCAAATCACCCAGATTAAAAGGTGTTCCTTTAAATGTTTAGCAGTGCACTAACTCAAAATACCAACTACACCTCCACCTGGATCAAAATCCATTCAGATAAATAATCCACCATGATTAAAAACAGACTATTTTTTTTCTATATCCTGACAAAATAGTAACATACATTACACTGCAAGATTTACATTCTAAGATGTACAAAATATCCACTCAGGACCTTAAGAACACTTGACTTTTCAATCACTTTTACCCTGAATTATTACCATGGAAAAATTATTAGAATAAAATAGTTTTAATGCTGAATTTAAAGACTTATCCTAGTATTTCTTGTTTTGCCTGCAGGTAATTCCATCATACCGTTCCAGTTTAACAGGTGCTTTCACAAAAAGAGCACACCATTTAACACAGACATAACACTTCAGTCTTTTCTTTAACTGCAGTGGCTGCATACAAATAGTGCAAAAAACAAGTGCTCATTTGCATACTCATCCCATGCCAGTCTGTGTCATGTGTCCGTTCTGCATGCATGTTTCCTTTCCAGAGCTGAGTAAGTGTGGCGTTTGTATGTGTGAGCATTTGGCCGTCGGGAGAAGTGAAGTTACAGTGAAGCCTTATGTAAGCAGCCTCAAAGTGAGCTGCAGTGTAAATGCAGAGTAACAAAGAAAAGTGAGAGAAGAAAACTTTTATTCAGAGCGTAAACAGCTGGAGGTCTGAAATGTTATTTAGTTGATACTTTATGCGTGGCAAATGTATGCTGGGAGTTGGGGGGGGTTATAGATGGTAATGCCGAAAAAAGAAAGAAAAAGTACAGGTCATGGAGCTTTCAGCCATAAAAGGAAACCATTTTGCTTTTTAAAGCAAGCGCAGGCTCATTTTATCTTAATTTAATCTTTAATGTTGTTTTTTCAGTGTATTAAACGACTCTGAGCACTGGTATTTTTAGCTTTTACAGACATAGCCAGCGTTTGCAGAGACTGAAGGGGTTCTAGAGATTTGGGGCTTCTTTATATTTGTTCATCACTGCAGCAAGTTTGAATGGCTGAAAGAGGTTTCAAATGTCAAGAAAGACCTGGCAGACTAAATTAAAGTTCTTGGTTCTTCTCTCGCACTCCTACTTAAAGATGTCAGTCAAGCTTTGCTTTGAAACTTTTTCTTAGCTTGTTGCTAAGCCAGTATGAGTCGCGTGTTACATGATCTCCTCTGTTTGTCAGCGACATTGACAAAAAAATACGCCTGAATTAAATTATTATTCAAATACGTTAGTGATTTCCTAATTTAATGATTTGTTTTATACATGGTTTATTGGCATCAGTGTGTCAGTTGTGCGTAGTAGGTGTACATTCAAAAAGATTTATTAATTTTATACAATAGACTTTCACTTTCCTTAATTTGATAATGTTATTCCTTTTTCTTTAAACAAAGCAAAATTGCCCCACCATCACTCCCCAAAAAGCTTTTTACCTGCTACCATCTCCTTTTGAAAGATAGTTTCTTTGAGGAGGATAAATCTTTTAGACAAAAGGTAGCGTGTGGATCTTGAGCCAAGTTATTTTTCTGTTACCTGATTTTCTGAAAATTGCATCCTGCTTTCAGGTCGTCAAAAAGCTCCCAGGCTTTTCAGCCTTTCAGAAGACCTTAAAACATCTGCCCTGAGGTCAAAACAGCCAGTACATAACGTAAAGCACCGCTTCTGGGTTGTGAATCTTGGTTCTGAAAGGGCCATATCACTTTAATCACCCATTTTAACTTGTTTCCTAATTAAGACCCAGTTGGCAAATCATATCAAATTATTAGCGCAGGGCCTGAAAGCAGCCCATATTTCTACAGTGCAGAACTCAAACAGCCACGATGCTGTTTGGGAGATTTAATCTTGTGTTTATGTTCTCAAACGTTGTCAGCTTAACAAAAGAAAATCCCTCCCCTCACTTCAGCAGGCAGCAACGTGCTCAAATAAAAGCATTTTTCACACAGCTCATCAGCTCAACTCTGGCTGTCTGATTTGAGCACACGATTAAAATGTTACCAGGTTAACCGTAGGCTTTGCACACATGTATGTGTAAGTCAGTCTGACTGAGCCTGAAATAACTCGTTGTGACGACGTTCCACAATTCCCTTCTGGGGCTACGATAGGCAAAGAAATACTTCAATGGAAATTCCAACCACTGAAATACCAAAGAATTCCTGCAATGATTAGTTGTGATGGTAGACACTGATGTTTAAAACAAATTGTGAGAGGGATTAAGAAACACTAAAACGTCAGATATGATGAAGAGATGGGAGTTTGTAAAAGGATCACCGTATAGACATTGTATTCCGTTCTTCTGAACCAGTCAGTTCATTTGTGTAAAAACCTTATTTATTCATCAGAATTTCTTAATTTTGACTGTGGTTTTGCATCCAAATCTTCGTGGGTCATACTTTAAACTGCCTGCTTTCTGTACGTTTCTGGCTCCTCATATTTTCAACAATCGTCCATTATGAGCAGGTAAAATGTTTTCTTTAATAAAGGGCTAATGTTTCCACTGAATCAAAACTAGACTAGGTTTATTCTTTTTAACAAGGTGAAAGCAAAAGCGGGTGAAAGGTGAAGTATTTTTGTGTCCGTACTTATTCTCTGAATACTCCGAAAAACATTTGCAAAACGAGATGACGACAAGAAAGCCTTTTGGTTACAGTCACGTTCTTTTTGGAGAAAGAAAGCAAAGCTGATGAAAGGAGAGATTAAGGAATGGTATTTTTCTCCATCCCTTTCTCTCCGCCACTCTTTAATTTACCAAAAGCAGCCAGTGGGCAGATGGGGATCAAATTATACTCACCTTTTACTTGCACTCCTCTGTGCAATTAGCGTCACGCTTACTTGTCATTTCAAATTGACGTGCCGCTGTTTTGCTATGTAATTATTTACCCGCCTGGGGAATAGCGCTCTCGTTAAACACTAAATAATGACAATGCACATGCACACATTCTGAAGCAGCGAAGCACCTGTTCCATGTTTGATCTGCAACATGTTTAACATGCTTTTTACCATTCCAGGGTCAGTGTTTCTGTGCAGTCGCTGTCCAATTAAAGTTGTCTTTGTGTCCAGTGTGTCTTTCTAAAAAGGTTTTATTGACTAATGCTGTGCTCCAATCTTTCAAAAAAATCTGTGTGCTTTTACCACATTAGAATCTTTGTGTTTGAGCATCAGGACCCTAACCTGCCTTTCTTTCTCTAGGTGTCCTCTTTTTTATATTTGTTCTTCTTAGCATCTCCTTTTTTCCCTAAGATTGGAAGTAAGGGCTGGGTCCTGTTCTTCAAACCACTGAGGCCATTATTTTTCGTTTCCCTTTTGCCCTCCAACCAACCAGTCAGCTTACAGAAAGATAGACTGAGACAAAAAAAAATAGGATTTAAACAAAAGAGAGAGAGAAACAAAGAGACCATAAACAATTGCAGCGATTTTCTTCTGCAGGGGAAGAGAAAGAAACCACATCCAAAACAATTTCTTTGATCTTGTGTCTTTTCTTGTTATAAATCTGTGTCTGTGATGCTTTTTTGTTTTTGTACTCTTTTTAAAGGGAAAAACACAATAAGCAAACATAAACTCTTGCTGATTTGTCCTTTTTGCTCTTGCTTCTTTTCTTTTTTTGATATTCCTTTTTTTTTCACGGTTTTTGCCAGTAATCTTTTTTGAATTTTCTCTTTTCTCTTTTTCCCCCCTTTTTTTCTTAACCCTAGGTCCGCTCACAAAAAAAACTGATGAATCTTCAATGAACAAGCCTCGAGACGAAGGTATTTTTGTTGCATGTTTTTCCTTTTTTCTTGTTTTGAAGTCTTTTTGGGGGATGTGTACACATACAGTGGAGGAAAATATATACGCACACACACGCACGCACGCACACACACATGCACGCAGGTCAAACATCTTTGATACGATTTGGAAATGAGATGCTTACCAATGTGTTGCTTAAAGCATATGTTTCCATCACTGCAATTAAAAGTTGTCTTTTGAATGTAAAGCATAAGCCTTGCGTGGCCTTGGATGAGCAGACCTGGCTAATGGAACCCGGACAGCCATTCTAAAGCCATCCACAGTGTTTTCCACAAGTGCCAATCTTGCTTTTGAACGGCAATGGGAGCTTGGACACCACCTTCACCGCTATGCCCTCGAAAAACATATTGGCCAACTATCAGCATTGTCCAGAAACCAAATTTTTGGTCAGGATTTGCAGTAACAAAACACCTATTGAAACCAGCTCACACAATGGAACATTATTATTGTGCCTCGGCTTCTCGCTCCAAGACGAAATTGCTATTGAATAAGAAACTACAGACTTTATTCTTTGTCAGTGAATATGACATCAAATCAAGCGCAGAAAAAAAGGGGACATTCAAGGACACTTGTGCAACACTTTGTAGGATATAGGTCTAATTGGCTGCTAGTATAAGGGCACAAAACTCCCAGCTTTCCTTTTAACTTGAATCCCACCTGCAGCAGTCACACTGTGGAGGCGATTTAGGCTGTGCTTTCATCTACACCCCCCTCTCACCTCTTCTTTTGGACTTGTTTCTTGAAGGAAAAAGATGACTGATAATAGTTCCAAACTTATTTCTCTCTGTGCTATTTTTGAGGGTTGTGCTGCTGAATCCTTTTCTTGCTCCATGATGCTGTTTGATTTGATGTCTTTTTTTATGTTGCGAGTCGGAGGAAGTTTGACACGAGAGGATTTTCTTGATGATCAAAGATGCTGGCACAGACGCAACTTTTTGAGCTGCCAAAGACAGCAAAGAGCTTGAAACGGTTAATCCCAAGCAAGATACCCCCTCCCGCCTTTTTATATACAGTATGTCTCATCCCCCACTCCAGTTAACCTCAATTGACAGGTGACTTTTAATCCCATTTGATGAATTTAGCATCTTTATCCCACACTAGAACACATCGTATGTACAGGTGAAAAACTGGGGACTTTGTGTCAACACCTTTTGGATCAATATTTAAAGTGGAAAAGAGGATTGATTTTTCAGAAAGCCCAGATGGGGCAAATCTTTCTGCAGATGGCCTCTGGCATACATAGCAGTGAAGAACACAGGTCAGTCTCTTCCCGGCAGAAATGATGCCTGAACGATCCAGATTAGGTAAACTGGTTGCAGGTTTAGGATTGTTTAAGTGATGTTACCATATGGCCTACACCCCTGGCTAAAAATCTGTTTTCCCAAAGAGTAACTTATGTTAAAATTGTATTTAGTCCCTTAGTTTGACACCTTATTTCAGAATTGTCCCTTGTGGTTATATAACTGCTGCCTCTAAATTTTCCACGGTCTCTTGGTACATATTTCTGGTCATATGCTGCAGATTTTACAGTCACAACAAAAATAAAAACTTTGTTTGTCTTCTTTTGGTGTTTGACCTTCAGTGCAGATTAGTGTTTATGCAGTATTGGACATTAGTAGATAGTTTTTGCATTCTTTTGCAAAAAGGAAACAATAGTAAAAAAAAAAAGAAAAGATAAATGTAAATGTAAAATAAGAACGATTTTTTAAATTCACTTGCAGCGGACAATCTGAGAACGGATTCTCCGGCGTGGTCCAGTTGTCAGTCGATTAGCCTAGGCTGTGCTTGCTTTCTGCCTTTCGTAATGTCAAAAGATGCAGTTAATGAGCTGTGTTTTCTGTAAGGTTAGAGCATATGGGTATTGTAAGGAGTGGCCTATGTGTTTATTTATCTTAACAGAAGATTAAAAAATGAAAGAAATGAATAGTCATCTGCTTTTTCGAGAGTAGGCAGACCTGATTTCCTTATTTAGCGGCCTATACACTTCTGGTCATCGCTGGAGAAGTGTGCCAAAGAGTCTGTAAGAGTATGTATGTAAGAAATGCAACATTAGTGTTTTTCAGAAAAGAAAGCTTGCTTTTTTTCCAGCTAGCAACTGTTTATTAGCATGCAGAGAAGGTGGATTAATAGCCTGGGAAAATGCATTGTGAAAGGGAATGTTACACGGTGAGCAGTTGTCTTAGTAATTCCCTGGTGGGGTTGACTCATAGACTCACAGCAATGATCTGTACTCTCTGCTTCCTCGCTGCTCCACTGGCACAAATAAAGATTTACTTCTAGAAACCAGATTCATGGAGAACTTATTTGATTTTTTTTTTTTTCGTTTAACTCCAGCTTTCCCAGTTAGAACCATAGACAAAATGTCAGTAACTACTTACATCTTTCTTGGATGATTAAGCACTAAAATGTTTGTGCATTGATCTTTCATTGAGAGTGAAAAAACAACCTTCTTAGAAAAATGGAATATTTATAATTCAAAAACAAGATTGATCTAATATAGTGTTTTTTTTGTGGAGAAAAGAAGAAAGAAAAAGCTTCAGCTCAGCTTGTCAGCTCACTCATTGTGTCCACCATTTTGTCCTCATTCTTTCAGCAGAGTATCGACAGCCTTTTCTCACTTACAGCCTTTGCAGTCATGTTTAGGTCATGCAAAAAAAAACAGTTTGAAAAGGATTTCTACTCAGGCTTTCAAAAATGTACACGTTGTAGCATCAAGAAGCTTATTTATCCTACCTTGATGACTTTATTTGGCTGCGGTTTCGGCTTCAGGTGTGAGAAAGCAAAAGGCCAATGAACCACGCAGCTCCCCAACGATCAATGTTCAGAAAGATTGATAAGAGCTACAGCACAGCTCACTGCGCAAGTCTGCCCGTGTATGTGTCACTGGAGACAGATGAGGGGATTGGAAACGAGTGAGATTGAGCTAAATCAAGACAGAGATACAGACAGTTTGTTACTCTGCCGTGTAGTTTCAGTGGTGATCAGATCCACCTGAGCCCCAAACCAGAAACACAGCACACGTGTACATGCGCATACACACATGTAGAGGTAAACCAAGGAGGCAAAAAGACAAAGGAAATGTTCTTTCTAAACAAACTGGTGGCATTAAAAAATCAAAGCCAATGTTCTTACACGAATCTCTAACTGTTCTTCTGATTGCACTGATGGTAATTTTCCCCTGGTTGTATGCGGTCCCACCTTGCCACGATTACAAATATGATCTGCTGTAAACTGGTAAGCTTTCTCCCTTTTGGTAGGCTGGTGGGCAAAATCTGGATATATGTACTTAACCAGTTACTTCAATGAACAACTTACAAATTCAAATGCGTTATTGCTTTTTTAACTTTTAAAGATCCTATAGGCAACTGTAAATGTCCCCTTCTCCTTTTTCCCCAAGTCTGCTTGCCTACATGATGCCAAGCTCCCCCTCTTCTGCTTCAAATCTGACAGTAACCATGTCAGATGTCACTCATGTTACTTTTCTTTGCCCCCTTGCATCTGTTGAGTGAACTTTATGTATTGTTTTTATTGCCAACATTAACACAGAGGTTTTGGTGTAATTTGCGAAACACTCATATTCAACAATGCTCTAAAATCACAGTTTTCTTGAAGAACTAGCTACCTTTGGGCAGGAAAATAATTTCTCCCCATCAGTGTACACCATAGTAATTAAAATATATTAAAGAGTCTGTCAGTTTTTTTCTCCTTTGAACTGTTTAAGACAGAGGGACATTCTGCGCTTGATACTCCTACTTGTTTTAAGTCAAATTCATCAGACAGTTTGGAAATGTAAATGGTGTGACCCCCACATGTATAGAGTTGATTAGGTGTCAAGGTGGGAACAATTCTCTTTTACCTTCAGATATTAGCTCTGGGAAATGTAATTGGGGTACAAATAACGCACTTTTAAAGCTGAAAAAATCGGTTTTCCTAGAGATCATCTAAGAAGACAAATTTCCTTTTCTCCTTTTCATTGACTCCAAAGAGAGAACAATCAATCATTTTTTGAGCAGGATTTGTCTTTTAGTTGTATTGTCAGTGATTCCTAAAAGATATTGTATACAGGACATAGTATTCAACATGAACAATGTCAGAATACCAAGAAATGTTTATTGTTCCCCCTGATGCTGAAAGCTGAAAAAAGCTTTCAGATTGTAACAGTGTCTTTGACATCGTGACTGTACATTTTACCAAGTCAGCTCAAAATAAGTATAGTTAATTGAATATATATCATGCTGTAATGGCTTAAAGTTCTAAGTAAGATCTATGATATTGGTTGTCATTTGACATTTGATGTCTGTTTTAATGGAGGATGGTGTGAGGAAAGATGTGCTTACACCAGATAATTAAAGTTGTTGCTGTGTTTTCTGTGTTTGTATCGACATCCATCTGCTTTTCCCTAATTTCCTCAGTTTTTGCGTCTCATTGTGTGTCATATGTGGTGTTTCTTCTTCAGTTGAAGTTGCACTAAGTCGCCGGCCTCAGGGCAGCGCAGCATCTGTCTGTTCTCTCTGAAACACTATCTGCTTGTTACTCAGTCAAAGTTCATTATTTTGGAAAACAACAACATAGAATGAATAAGGTTTGGATCCTTCAATCTTTTTTTCATGTTTTGAGGAACACATGGTGAAATCCTCTCCTATTAAACCTGTACATCTGGTGGATTTTCACCACGGACACTGTGTGATATCCAACATACCACACAAATCGCATCCCACAGCTAAAATTTTCCAATAGTATAAAACAGAAAGATATGTGAGACATGAGAAATCTGAAACGAAAATGCCTGTCAAAATGAATGAAATACTAAATTACATTTTTTAATGTTCTTGTGTGCCAAGTGCGAATAATTTGATTCAAGGATTTTGGGTGAAGTGAGGTGGCACAGAGACGAGACTGAGCAGTCCAGTGTATTTTAGGATGATGAAGGAAGAGGGGAAATTGAAACAAAAAGGGACAA